GCAGCCTCTTCGACCGGAGCAGCCTCTTCGACCGGAGCAGCCTCTTCGACCGGAGCAGCCTCTTCGATTAATACAGCCTCTTCGACCGGTGTAGGCTCTTCAACCGGTGTAGGCTCTTCAACCGGTGTAGGCTCTTCAACCGGTGTAGGCTCTTCAACTGGCGCAGGCATATCATCCTGGATAGCGGCCAACTCGGCCGATTTGGAATTACTCTCTTGAATGGTGTGAGGCTCCGATACCTGATCCGGTTCCTCATAGGCGGCGCTGGCTGCAGTAGGTGTCTCGATCGCCGAAGAAGACTCCTTGTCATCTAGCTCGACGACGGTAGCAGCGACCTGTGGTTCGGCATCGAGAGCTTCAGACACGGGCGGTTCAGGCAGGCTTTCAGCAGCTGGTACCGCTTCGGCAGTAGATGGTTGGACGTCAGTATCTTCGGCAACCTCGGTCCGGGAGGCAGTCTCGTCGGCAGGCTTGTGGTCCGGCTGGGAAGACAGGGAAAGTAGCGGTTCGATGGCTTCGACTTGGACTTGGACTCCGTCACCCTGAGCCAACACAGCTTCGGCAAGCGGCGCTTCAGTCTCGACGTTTTTCTCAGCCGCAGTCACAGTGGGCTGTTCTTCTTCAGGCTGAGCTTCCGCACCGCTCGTTTCCTCCTCAGGAGCCGGCACTTCAGGCTCTGCAGTTGCATTACCGCTAGGGGTGTTGGACTCGTTGTCTTGAGTTATGCCTGCTGATTCTTGCTCCTCGATTGAAGGCTGCTCTTCAACCGCGGATTGCTCCTCGACAGACTTTTCCTCGACTAGAGGCTGCTCCTCGACCAGAGGCTGCTCCTCGACAGCGGGCTGCTCTTCAACCGCGGATTGCTCCTCGACAGACTTCTCCTCAACTGAAGGCTGCTCCACGACGGGCTGCTCCTCGACAGCGGGCTCCTCTTCGACTGTGGATTGTTCCTCAACTGTGGGTTTCTCCTTGTCTTCACCCCTGATTGAGGAAACAACAGCAGTTTCTTCAGCGACATCAATGGAGACGGACTCTTGAGTCTCGGTCACCTCCCGGGATGCATCTGCACCGGGTGATTGCTCAGCCTCTGAAGCAGCAAGCTCAGTTGGTTCGTTTGGCTCAATGACTCCGGTAAGACTGTCTTGGGCAGTGCTAGAGGCCTGTTCTTCGGCTTCAACGCTAGGCGTATCAACTGCCGGGAGAGCTGGCTGTTCCTCTGGGGCTGGAGCTGGAGCCTCCTCCGCATCGACGGCCTCAGGTACAGGCATCTCTTTGTCAGGGTTTATTGCTGCAAGTGACGTTTCAGATTCCATCCCAAACTCATCATTGCTAGTGTCTCTCGTACCTTGCTCGTCGCTTTCTTCCGTGCTGATGACTTGGCCTTCAGACTGCGTCTTCGTCTCAGCCTCGGCGACGGGCGGAATGTCCATGACTGTTTGCCCGGACAACAGTTGATCAGGGTTTGTTCCCTGCGTCTCGGTAGTATTCTCGAGCTTGTCTGTCAGGGCAATCTCGTCCCTTGCCGTGATTGCTGTCTCGGCAGAGACCAGGTCGGCCTGCTCTGAGCCCATTTCGTTGTCGGTCTTCCAGACAATCTCATCCTCTTCAGCCACATTAAGATTAAGTTGATCAGGGGTATCATTGCTCATTACAGCAGAAGTCGTTGCAAACGCATCCAGGGTATCATGGGTATCGTGGGTATCCGGGTATCGCAAGTCCAAGTCCGTGTCCGTTGGTTTCGAAATGCATTCTGAAGCCTCCCCTCCCGCCATGCCACTCCCACCGGGGGTATCAAGCAATGCAGGGTGTTCCTCACCTGTAGCCTTTTTCTCAGCTGCCTTCTGTTCGCTGGGAATTGGCCCAACCGTGTCTTTGCTCTCGTTGTCCTCCTCTGCTGGCGTCTCCTTGGTATTTTCTGCGATTGCAGGAGTTGTATCGGAGTTTTTCGCCGGCTTCTCCTCCTGAGTCGGAGCGACAGGAGATGCGGTTTCCTCGTCCTGATTCGCCTGTTGCTCCGGCTGGGCGGCCTTTGCTTCATCGGCAACAGTCTCCACGGCCGTAGCTGGGAGCTCTTGTTTGGCGCTCTCAGAAGCTTCCGCAACAACAGCCGCAGCTGCGACCTGGGGCGCGTTGGCGCTGGTCTCCTCAGGGGACTGTGCCTTGACCTCAACAGGCTCCGATTTGGTCTCGTTTGGCACTTCCCCTTCAGCTTCTTCGGCAGATTCAGGCTTAGGCTCATCAGCAGCCTCTGCCTTACTTTGGGCTTCGGTAACTTCCTTGACCTCCTCTTTTGACTCGGCCTGGGCGTCGTTGGACTCGGCTGTTGTAGTTTCAGCAACTTCAGCTTTGGGCTCCTCAACCGGCTCAGTCTTGGGCTCCTCAACCGGTTCAGCTTTGAGCTCCTCAACCGGTTCAGCTTTGGAATCCTCAACCACCTCGGTCTTGGCCTCCTCGACCGGCTCGGCTTTGGCCTCCTCGACCGGCTCGGCTTTGGCCTCCTCGACCGGCTCGGCTTTGGCCTCCTCGACCGGCTCGGTCTTGGGCTCCTCGGCCGGTTCGGCTTTGGGTTCCTCAACCGGTTCAGCTTGAGGCTCCTCAGTCAGCCCGACTTCAGCTTCCTCCGCTGGTTCGGCCTTGATTTCCTCAACAGATTCAGCCGCCACAGTTGCGGCAACCTCGGCCTTTGTCTCCTCCTGTTCAACGGTAGGCTCCTCGGTCAGTTCAGCTTCGGCTTTGTCGGTGAGTTCAGCGTTAACGTGCTGCTCAGCCTCAAGCACAGGTTCGGCCTTAGCCTCCTCCGCGACCTCAGCTTGCGGCTCCTCGGGAGCCACAGCCTTGGCCTCTTCAGAGGCTTCCACTTTGGTGTCCTCTTCCGGTTCCTCGACTGGCTCAGTGGTAGTCTTCTCAGAGGGATCAGGCTGTTCTGTAGCCTCAGATGCAGCTTCAGCTGCTGAAGTTTGAGTCTCATCAACCGGTTCAACTGTGGACTCCTCGGCGGGTTCAACCTTCTCCTCTGCAGGATCTGCCTTGGATTCTTGGGCAGGTTCAGCTTTGTGTTCCTCGGCAGGTTCTGGCTTGGGTTCCTCAGCAGGTTCAGCCTTGGATTCCTCAGCAGGTTCAGCCTTGGATTCCTCAGCAGGTTCAGCCTTGGATTCCTCGGCAGGTTCGGCCTTGGGTTCTTCGGCAGGTTCAGCCTTGGGTTCTTCGGCAGGTTCAGCCTTGGGTTC